TCACCAAGAGTGAGCTGCAATGCTATGGTATGACCATGGGTATGCCAGAGCCCAAACACTGCCTTTTGCTCTGTGCTGCCTCAAAAATTATTTCCTTGCTTCTTTCCAAGGAGCATTCTATAAAAACTTTTAACATTTGCCCAGAGTTCACCTCCAATGTTCTCTGTGACTATATATTAATGTTTAATTTGTTCACCGTAAAAGAATGTTTGCCAGGTGAGAGGTTAACCATCATGAGTCTTCTTTGACGTCAGTAGCAGTTCGATTTCTATTTTGATTTAAATTTCTCAATTGCTCTGAACTTTGTGCACATCAGGCTATTTGAGGGCTGGCTGCCAATATCTCCCTTAATATAGTACAATTAATTAGAAATTTCACAATGAAATGAAACATACACATATGAATGCCTACTTTCAAAACTATGTAAAAGCAGGTCTAATGATATGTTCAGATCCTTGCTTGCATTTTTCTTTAGCATCCAAAGGGATATGGTCCATTCCAGAGGAATATAAGTACAATCTAGTGTGTATGTGGGTGTGGGCGTATCTCTATTTAGAGGACAATCATTTGTAGATTTGTAATTTTATGCACACATTTTAGATAAATACATTCCACTTCCTCATTCCCTAGCAGATTTTCTTATTTCCTTCCTTCAGCATGAAGGAGAAAATATTAGCACCCTTTTCTTTGTAGCTCAAATGGTTTTATTTACAGTCATTAGAAATAAATTAATGACACAACTGACCCTGTTCTTTACTAACAAAATCAATGGCTTCTAATCACCTAATATAAAACTAAAGTCACCCATCCCAGTAGAACCTACGAATATTAATCAATACTACTTAATATTTAGCTGTCCTCACATGACAACCCTTAAGGTACAGACAACCTCCCAGGGAGACAGAGAAGCTTTCTTGGAGGTTACATCAGTTGGGACACTCTGTGGACGCTTGCCTGAGATAGTTTTATGAGTGACTACTTTTAAAAATTCTCCAATCTAAAAGGTTTTTTTCAATCTACAGAAGTGATATAGAATTTTGTGACTTAAATTTCTCTTTATTCTTTAAATGAATTTTAAATATATACATTCCCTAGTCAAATAAACATATACATTTCCCTAGTCAAATCTAGGATATTTGTGTGTCAGGTACTTCTAATGGAGTTATAACCTAGAATTCACCATTACTTCTTACTGGAGGCCTAGTTGAGAAAATGTCCATTCATTCTTCTAAGTATTAGATATTAAATACATTTTATTTCAAGTATCCATTCTGGTTGATTCAACCGATAGTGGCTGCCTCACTATGTTCTGAGTTCAGCAGAAAATAAAAAGAATTTTAACCCATTAGGCCATGGTAATAAGAAAGAATAACATTTTGACATATTTTCAGATTTTGTAATGGATAATATTGTAGTATAAATACACTTTAACAGGCCCTAGACACAAATGTGTTAAAAGGCAACCTCTATATTTCGCCCAAACTGTACTGAATTTCTATATCAAACCTCTACTCATGGCCGAAACAGAATAAATTCAGTTAAACTCAGTCAATTTAGAGAGATTTTGTTTTCCTTCCCTTTCTCCCTGGTCTAACATCAATAGTTCATGTGGAGTGGGCAGATGAAAGGAAAGATACTGGTATAGTCCTTGGTCATCATCTACTCATGATGGAAAACATTAAAGTGAACACCATCTTTTTGACCTCTATTCATTGGCATATTTTTATGCTGGTATCTGCTGATGCTTCATGTTCACAACTGAGGTCTATGCTCACATCCATTACTGCATTCCCCAACCCCTGAACCATAAGGTCACTGCATTCATAGGTTCACTCTTACCCATTCTCACCCTTTTCCCCTCTCTTTCACTGCTCTCTCTCAATAGCTTGTCCAACATGGCAAGGGTGGAGATCCAAGACTGGACCCAGGATAGGGGACCCCAAGCTCATTCTCTTGAGCAATAGGCTATAGCTTCTGCTGGCTGGTGGGAATATGTTTAACCTCCCTCCAGAGACTAATGTGGAAACATATATGTGTGTGTGTGTGTGTAAAATTTGACTTCTACTATTCTAATTTGGATGCCTTTTATTACTTCCTCTTAGCTGACTTCTCTGGCTAGGGTTTACAGTACTATGTTGAATAGAAGTGGTAAGAGTGGGCATGCTTGTCTTATTCCAGTTCTTAGGGAAAATGCTTTCAATTTTTCCTCATTCAGTATGATGTTAGCTGTGGGTTTGTCATATACAGCTTTTATTATTCTAATGCATATTTTTTCTATGCCTAGTTTGTTGAGGGTTTTTATTATGAAGGAATGCTGAATTTTATCAAATGCTTTTTCTGCATCTATTGAGATGACCATATGGTTTTTTGCTTTTAATTCTGTTAATGGGGTGGATCATGTTTATCCATTTGTGTATGTTGAGCTATCCTTACATCCTGGAATAAAGCCACTTGATTGTGGTGTATTACTTTTTTGATGTGCTATTAGATTTGGTTTGCTAGTATTAATACTTTGCTGAGGATGTTTACAGCTATGTTCATCAGGGATACTGGTCTGTAGTATTCTTTTTCTGTTGTGCTCTTGGCTGACTTCTGTATCAGAGTGATATTGGCTTATAGAGTGAGTTACTAAGGATTTTTTCCTCCTCAAATTTTTGGATCAGTTTTGGTAGGATCAGAACCAGTTCTTCCTTGCATGTCTACTAGAATTTGGCAGTAAATCCATTTGGTCCTTGGTTTGTTTTTGTTTGGAGATTTTTCATTACTTATTCAATCTCATTACTTGTTATTGGTCTGTTTAGGATTTCTATTTCTTCCTGGTTCAATCTTAGAAGGTTGTATGTTTCCAGGAATTTTTACATTTCCATGTTCAGGCTTCCCAGTGGCAGCCACATAAGTGGCAGCCCTGACTGTAGTCTCTGAACAGTTCTCTGGCTGCTGGAATAATGTTCCAGAGAGGAGCAGAGCCACCTATGCTGTGCCACAGAGCCTGCACTGGGATCAGAGGCAGCCTGGGCACCACAGCTTAGCGGGCAATGGTGGCACTCACTTGGCTCCCACTCCCTTAACTCAGTGGGTCTCCCACACACGGCCCACCACTGGCAGCAAGCCAGAACAGCCAGCGGAGTCACAAGCAGTATGTACTCAGGCTGTGAAATTGCCCCAGGCCATAAGACTCCCTGCCTGGGACAGAAACTGTGTCTCCCAGGACACATCCCTCTTGGTCTGAGGGGGCAGCGCCCAAATCCTATGCCCACAGCACGAGCCCACTGCATACTGCCTTCTCAATTCTGGCCATGGGGGCTCATTCCCTCTGAAGATTAAATCACAAATCTCAAGTCAAAGCCTCTCCTAATCTGTGACCACTGCCCAAGTTGGCTGACAGATTTCCACGAGGTCTTCTGTGAGTTAGGATCATTAATGTCCTCCTCCTGTCAGCGTCAGGGTCTGGGAGTGAACGCAAAGCACTTCCTGATGCTGTTCCTTCTCACATACTCCCTACCCCTCACAAAGTCAGATCCAGCAGTTGGTAGGGTCAAGCAGCTCCGTTGGGGCCTGGATTGTCTGGCTTCCCAGTGGGAATGTGTATTGCAGAGACAACCTCTCCCCTTCTCATGCTCTGACGACTTGCAATTTTCTGCCAGACCCACAGCATAGGCTACTGCCTACCGCTTCTTTCAAAGTATCTGCGATTTCTTTCACTTTCTTGTTGAGTTCTCATGTTTCTTCTTGGATACACATCCACAGTATGCATTTCTACATGCTATTTTGCTGTTTCCAAGTGGGTGGGGCATGCTAACAAAGCCTCTCTAATCCACCATCTTAGGGAATAAAAAACTACATTCTTGAAAGATGCCTCTAGATAAAAGGTTAGATTTGCCTCTAGATACATTAGTTTTCCACTATTTTGAGACTCTCAATGACACAGTACAAATGTCTGGAGACATTTTTATTTTTCACAACTGAGATCACATACATAGAAAATTTTAAGTAATCTGGAAAACAACTTCTACTAGAGCTAATAAGTGAATGTGGTAAACTCACAACACATAAGGCCAATATATAAAAACGGATAGTATTTCTTACAGGCCAGAGAGCTGGGAAGCCAAAGTGAGCAAAGAACATCAGAAGCTGGTATCTCAGCATTAAAAGGCTAAGTACATAAAACCAAAATTTGACCAGGGAGGAGTTTTAGGCAAATGATTAGGAAAGTAAGCAATGGCAAGGAAGTAATAAGCTCATACTGCAATGACTTTCTCCAGACACCTACAGCTTTGTCAGCTCCCAAGTCTGATGCCACCTGAGTTTAACAAGATCTCTCTCCTGCGGTTGACAAGACAAAGGGTTGCCCAGTAGTGGCTGGAAAGTAGCACCTGACACTACCCGCATGTCAACGGTCCGTTCTAGTGATGTCTCCACTAGATTCCTTTCTTGCTGCCTCCACTGAGGAGTGAATTCTCCCTCCTCTGATTCTCACAGAGTTAAAACAGAACACTTGATGGCATCAGTCTGTGACAACTTTGGTCTTAAATTTTCATATAGTTAAGACACTATGACCAAGAAGTGTTGATGATGAACTGAATTTGATGCAGTGAATCAAAATGTAAATATCTCCTTTTTTTTTTTTTGAGGCGAGGGAAAGCAAGGTTTATTAATTTGTCAGCAAAAATGAGAAAAATAGCAGACTCCTATCTTAAAGTACCAATTTTCCTAACTATAAGCAGAAATACAGAGCTTTTAAAGGGAGAGTTACCAGTTCAGGCTATTGCTGTTTCACTATAGTTGATGGCTCTAGAAGGCACTGTCTATGAACCAGAAAGCCCTCACCAGACACTGAATCTGCCAGGGCCTTGATCATGGGCTTTCCAGGCTTTAGAACTGTGAGAAATTAATTTCTACTCTTTATAAGCTACACAGTTTATGGTATTTTGTTATAGCGATCCAAACAGACTAAGACAAGCATCTTTTCAGTCCTGGCTGTTTCTTGTTTCTCTCTTTAGGCTAAGGTACCTGCCAAGATGTTCCACTTGCAGGGTCCACAGATGCTGAAGATGCTAGAGAAATCCTTGCAGAAAAGCCTCCCTGAGTCCTTAAAGGTGAGAATGGAATGCTGTCAGCAAAACAAAGGACTACACCTTCCTGTGATGGGGATTGGAAAGAGATGAGCTGCTATCGTGCATCTACTCTGTGGCAGAACTCACTCATGTTGTATCTCATTTAGTTCACGTCACCTCTGTGTAAGCTAGGAGACCCGATATACCAACCATCACAAAGAGCCTCCAAGAAAAATCTACCTTCTTTAGCCAATGGACCAGGAACAGAGAAGCCTAGTAAAACTGAAAACTTCAAACAGTATCGGTCTACTAAAGAAAAACCACAGAAAAACTGCAGTTCTATCCCCACCAGCAAAGGCCAAGTGGGGGACCTGGATCTGTACCCCCACTGGAAGGAAGGAGGCCCCCTTTCCCGTCTCTGCCAAGACAGTGTCAACCAAGGCCTGGGGAGGACTCAGGGTTTCCTTGCTTGCCAGCAACCAGTAGAGAAGCCACACGCACTCACGATGGCATCAGTGGAGGCTATGCTGGAAGCAGTAACTAGGCACCCAGCCTCTCCAACCCAGGGTTCCACTGGAGGCCTAATAGGACCCGAACTCCCACCCCCACCGTTTTGAAGAGCCCCAGTCCCCCTCAGGTGTCAGTGGTGGCTAAGTGGGGAATGGACTTCTACACTCGGCTTGCAGCACTGAGGCAGCCTCTCTCCCTTCTTCCCCTGCCGGAGCAGCATCAGAGAAAGCCAGCTAAAACAAAATTTAAATAAGATCCAAAGTCTCCTAACACATAATGTCCAATATGTCCAGGATTCAATTTAAAAAATAACTTGTCATTTAAGAACCAGGAAAATCTTAACTTAAATGAGAGCCCACAATCAGCAGATATCAAAAGAGACATAATACAAATCTTCAAATTATCTGACAAGGATTTTAAAGCAATCATCATAAAAATGCTACTACAATGGGCAATTACAGAAACACCTGCAACGAATGAAAAAATATGTATCTGAAATCTTTCACTTTTCTAAAATTTGTTCAGGAATAGAAGGAAATCTATTTAAAGATATTATTAAATCCCATAATGGGAGAGTTCATGATTTTTAATCAATTATATTAAAAGTCTGAATATTTTACTATATGAATTTTTTAAGAGATAATTTTAGTGGGGTGAAAAACATAGAACCTAAAAATTGGTTGACAGTAATGTTTATTAGGTATCTTCCAATCATAAAAATTCCATGATTTCATAGAAATATGCCTTGTCTTGTCAAATGCAAGGCATTTTGCCACCCCTTTGTAATGTGCTGGTCCTCCCACTTTGTTGAAATGCTGTAGGTTTATGGAACCGTCTTCCACATGAACCAAGGAAATCCGTTCAATCTGAAGGCTGTGGTGGACAAGTGGCCTGATTTTGAAACAGTGGTTATCCGTCCTCAGGAGCAGGTAAGGTGCCAGAGGTGGACTGAATATGTCCCTATGTTCATGTTTGTTGTGTGCTTACCTTGTGCCTGGCAATATGGCCAACCCTAGGGATAAACAAATGAATTGTAGTGATGGTCAACAAATCCCTTTCCTCAAGAAGCTCACACCCTAAAGGAGAATATGGATTGGTCCACAGATAAATTAGAGCATGGCATAAAATGTGCAGAAGCAGAAGTACAAAAAAGATGCAAGAATAGCAGAGGCAGGAAGCTGATTGAAAGCATATGTGGTACACTTCCATACTCATTCATTGTTTTATTTTGCTTTTGAGATATTCCCCCAACCAGCATTCTGCTGATACTGAAGACCAAACACACTTTCTTATTTCTCGCATTCAGTTCATGGGAATGGGAGGCAACCAGTGGACAGTCATGCTAATTTAAGATCATGTTGGCATAATCAAGAGGCTAATCTTTTGTTACGGACATTAAAAAAGCATTTCTAAACTTCTATGTTGTGATAAATCAGGTCCTATTTCTATTCTCAACTATTAGCCTAGGGAAAAAAACATTTCCTATCTCTAAAAATACACCAGTCTTGAAACCGTGCCAACTTATTCATACTAGATCACAACTTCTCACTGTGATACTGTCTTCCCACTGAGATGCTACACTGGATTGTAACCAATTGTCATCAATAAACTCAAATAAAACAGGGTAGAGGTTACAGGGAGAGGATTAAAGTTGCTTCCTGGTGGAAATTTTACTAAAACGGGATGTTAAAGATAAGTAAGATTTTTTTTTTTTTTTTGAGACCGAGTTTCACTTTTGCTGCCTGGGCTAGAGTGAGTGCCATGGCGTCAGCCTAGCTCACGGCAACCTCAAACTCCTGGGCTCAAGCGATCCTTCTGCCTCAGCCTCCCAAGGAGCTGGGACTACAGGCATGTGCCACCATGCCCGGCTAATTTTTTCTAAATATTTTTAGTTGTCCGATTAATTTCTTTCTATTTTTAGTAGAGATGGGGTCTCGCTCTTGCTCAGGCTGGTTTCGAACTCCTGAGCTCAAATGATCCGCCCACCTCGGCCTCCCAGAGTGCTAGGATTACAGGCGTGAGCCACTGCGCCCAGCCAATAAGATTTTTTTATAGGGTAGGGCAACAAAATTGTTATTTTCCAAGCACAGAAAATAGCAATTGCAAGACATAAGGTCTGAAACAGCAAAGCCAATTAGGGAAAATTAAAGAGCAAAATTTGGAATTGTTGTTTACATTTTGTATAGTCATTTTTTAAGTAGTGAAATTAAATAGTGAACACATTTCAAAAATAAAAAAATGTATAATTATATTTTAAAATAGCATATATTTAAAATAAAATTTATAAATATAGAAACATTAAACACATCATTTTTGTATAACTTGTTTAGACATTAAATTAGTAAAAATGTAATTCAAAAATTACCAAATTAAATAATAAATTTAAAATGAAGACATTTTAATTATTAATAGAATCCTGAATAAGAAATAATATTATCTGAGCTAGTTTTTAGTATCTGATCTCAAAAATAAAGCTTGATAGGCAGCAACATGGTTGAAGTGTCTTTTTGTTTAATATTTTCCAGGTATTAGAGAGAAAGAAGTTTTCTGATTCTATACTGGATGAAGGAATTTTTCCTCTTATCTGTTCCTTCATATCCAAATAATCCTATCTTGGGTTTGATAAATTTCCTAGGTATATTTGAATGAATGAATTTGTTTATTTGTTTGATGAAACTGCAGTTTGTCTAACAATGGTAAAAACTTTTTTTTTTAAAAAAAAAAGACAGTATATCTGGTTTATCATCCTTTTCCTTGGTTTCAGTATCTCTAATCCTATTAACTGTATTGATTTTATAATAATACCGACACGTTTATGGCTCACATGTTCTAAAAATCTTTTCACTAGAGCAATGCTTATTCATGCTTATTCATTTGGCTAAAGATTTTGATTGTCAATTGTTATTTTTACTCTTCTACTTGAGTTTTATGTAGGAATAGAAATATGATTTTAAGTGAGCTTTCTTTGTTAGATTTGAAATTTTAAAGCAATAGCTGAGTTAGGAATAGTTATGTTCAGAAAATTTCTCATTATTAATTAAATAAGAGAATCCTTGACTTTGCCTCACAATGTAAATAATTTCTATGTTAAGACAATACACCAACAGAAAATACTAATGTTAGTCTTTTAAAATATAATACTATAATGGAATACTAAAAACCAGTATGGCAATCACTAAATACAAACATTTAGGTGATTCTTCTTTTCCTAACCCAAACAGGAGATGACAGATGACCTTGATCATTACACCAATACTTACCACATTTATTCTAAGAACCCCAAGAAATGTCAGAAATTCCTTGGCTTACCAGAAGTCATCAACTGGAAACAACGTTTGCAGATTCAAAGTAAGAGGACCGAGATGTGGGCTAGCTGCCAGGATCTCCCATGTCTACACCCACAGTGTCACTTTTCATTTTGAACAAGTACCCCTACATCCCGCATGCCTTTCCTCCAAGCCCTGGGCACTCAGCCTGCTGCCCCTTCCTTGTCCCAGCTGCTGTCACCTCCATAGTGAATTAGAACTCGAAGACTGCAGTATATGGGGTTTTACATAGGAAATTATGAGTAATATAATTTTTTTAGCAGCTGAGGACTCATGATTTATTTTCTGATGTGCTCAGGATCTATTATAGTGCATGGATGTGGAGTGGACCTTTCCCTTTGTCTTATTTCTGCTTTATCATATTGTCAAATATATGAAGGAGTATTTTAGTGGTTACGAATATACTCTCTGGACTACCTAAGATTGAGAACTTGCCGGGCCTGTTATTAGCTGTGTGATCTAGGGCAAGTAACAACCTCTCTGTGGATCAGTTTCCTTATGTATAAAATGATTATAACAGTACACAAAACATAGAACCTTTAATGATTAAATGAGATCTTACCTGCTTTCACCAGTTACATTTTCAAACTGTCCCAAAGTTGCAACTTAAAAACAACAGTCATTTATTAGCTCACAATTGCGTGGGTCAGCAATTTGGACCAGGGTCAGCTAGGTAGTTATTGTGCTAGTCTCACCTAGATCCACCCATTGTGGCCACAGTCAGCTGGAGGGCTGTCTGTGAGCTGGTAGAACTAGGTTAGTCATGACACCAAGTCTGGCTGTTGATGCCAGCTTTGTGCTAGCCATTGACTGTGGTGATGGAAGCAGATTGTGCAACATGTAGAAGCCACAGGGTTCTCAGGAGCAGAAAGAAAAGGCCAGCCCTGGTGCACACCATTCAAACTTCTTATTGAATTACATTTGCTATTGTTCCATTGGCGAAAGCAAGTTACAAGGCTAAGGCCACAGTCAATTCAGGAGGGAAAATCAGGAAAGTGAAGTAGAAACTACTGGGACCATTATAGCAACAATCTACTGCACGGAGTACAGAGAACATGTTCGATGCATTTTAGTTACTATGTTTATATCTCATCTACTTTGACAGTCATAACTGTACTGTGATGTACTCAGGACTTGTGGTATTACCCAAATTTTAAATTTAGAAAAACCATGAGAGTGATGTAGCCCTTATCATATAAAGCCTATATAATGACTGAGCACAAGGTTTGATGACTCTAAACCCACAAACCTTCCAACCCCATTCGGCAGCTTTTCCAGAACTTTAAAATGAAGAATCCTATCTCTTATGATTCGTCATTTTCTGCATCTAGGTTCACAGTCCAGTCTGGATACGGCGATAGAAAATCTTGGAGCCATTAATTCTGGCAAGGTCAAGCACACACAAAATTTTCTCTATATGTCACTCAAGACAGCAAAGGAATTGATCCCTTCAATACTGGATGCAAAGAACTTACCTAACTCTGACAAAATGATGAAGTCCATGTAAGTTTGATAGAAGCCACTCTGCACTAGTCATACCTCTCACTACAGAAGTAGCCTTCTGTACTAGTTTTCAAGGGCTGCCACATAAAAAAAAAAAAAAAAAATGCCCACAAACTGGGTAGCTGAAAACAACAGAGATTTATTCTCTCACAGTTTTGGAGTATGGAAGTCCAAAATCAAGGTGTGGGCAGGGCGATAGTCCCTCCGAAACCTGTAGGGGATAAGTCTTCCTTGCCTGTTCCATCTTTGATGCCTCCAGACATTCCTTGCCTTGTGGCTGCATTACCCCAGTCTCTAACCTTCACGTGGTCTTCTCCTCTGTGTCTGCTCCTCTTTCATCTAATTGGATTTCGTCTTTCCACTGGATTGAAGACTCACCAGATAATCCAGAATTATTTCATGTTGAGATCCTTAACTTAAGGATCTTTACATCTACAAGACCCTTTTTCTAAAAAGGTCATATACACAAGTTCCTAGTAGACATATCTTGGGGGGCCACCAGTTAACCCACTAAACCTCTCAACTCTCTCCCTGCTTTTGCTCTGGCCTCCCTACAATCTATTTTCTGTCAAGTAGCCACAGTAATCTTTTTAAAATTTAATGTAAACCATGCCCCTCTTCTACTTAAAAGATTCCAGTGCTTCCCTTCTCACCTTGAAATGATTCTGAACTGCTTCACAGTCTATAATAGCCAGAATCCATCTACCTTTTTAGGACTCACATCATCTCTTGCTTTCCCCCTCCAACAACCCTGGCCTCTGGCTGCTCAGTCATCACAAGCCCAGGCCCTTTGAATTTGCTCTTTCCCCTGACTATAATATCTTCCCCAAAGCCCCATCCAATTTTTTTTTTTATTTCAGCATATTATGGGGTACATATGTTTAGGTTACGTGTGTTGCCCTTGGTTCCCCTCCCCCCAAGTCCGTGTTTCAAATATGTCCATCCTTCGGGTAGTGCGCATTGCACTCCTTGTGTATACAAATACCCGTCCCCTCCTCCCTCCTCCCCCGTCCTCCCACCGCCCTCTCCCTTCCCCAGCATCCAATAGATGTTGTCCTGATATGTGCTTTTATGTGTTGATTAGTTAATACCAATTTGATGGTGAGTACAAATGGAACCCGTTCTTCTGCTCTTGTGGTGCCCCACTTTGGATAATGGGCTCAAGTTTAATCCAGGAAAATGTAAGTGGTGCTAGATCACTGTCATTTCTTATAATTGAGTAATATTCCATTGTAAACAAATACCAAATTTTGATAATCCACTCATGGATTGACGGGCACTTGGGTTGTTTCCACATTTTTGCAATAGTGAATTGTGCTGCCATAAACATTCGGGTGCAGATGTCCTTATCGTAGAATGTTTTGTGCTCTTTTGGGTAGATGCCTAATAGTGCTATTGCTGGATCGAATGGTATTTCTATTTTTAGCTCTCTGAGGTATCTCCAAATTCTTTTCCACAGAGGTTGCACTAATTTGCAGTCCCACCAGCAGTGTAGAAGAGTTCCTGTCTCTCCACATCCTCGCCAACATTTGTTGTTTTGTGTTTTTTTGATAGAGGCCAATCTCGCCATCCAATTTTTACACACATGACTTCTTTTATTACTCAGAACTGCCCAAAGGTTACCTTGCCAGAGAGTCCTGGGTAAACCACCCCATCTGAAGTCCCTTCCCAGTTATTCTCCATGCATGACCCAGTTTTATTTTCTTCATAGCACTTATGACTATTTGAAAATAGCTCATTTATTTATCTTACTTATTTGATGTTTGAATCCTCCCCAACAATATCACACACCTCACAAGAGCAGGTACCTTCTCTATGTTGTTCACTGATAGATCATCAACAGCTAGAACAATGCCTGGCACATAGTGGGTGCTGAATAAATGCATCTAACGTATCCACTTCACAAAACAAGAGGTTTCCAAGAAAGAGAATTTAAACAAATATTTATTTCCCCCCAATGATGTTTAGTCTAATATTGAATAGAAGTGAAAGCTGATGGCAGGGATTGGATTCTCTGTGTGTTGATATGCCTGGAAGAGCTTTACTCACATTGTAAAGGACATTCAACCTAAAAAGCGCCTCCACATCCAGAATCTCATTGGATCCTCTTGTCCACCCTATGTGATAACAAGGCAGAAGACATTCTCCCCATTTCCGGACAGAAAGCAGGCTCTGATGATTAAGGGGCTTCACCACCATGGGCTTGGTTAAGGGCATAACTGCGGGGCTTGAGCCTAGATCTTCTAGTTCCACATCTTGGGCTCTTTCCAGGATGCCTCCTGAAACTCCTTTACACCACTCCAGGAGCCTTCGGACCTCAGTCCTCCGTAACGGTGGTCATCTGCACTCCACATTGCTGCCCTTCACTGAACTACGGCTTTCCTGTTTGTTCACTGTGGTGGCCAAGGACCCCTCTGACACCAGCATTCTAAGATTCCATGATTTTCAGCTCTGGTTTTACTGCCCGCTAGCATGGGCTTTGGGGCACTCGTTTATTTTCTCTGAAACTTTATCCTTCTATGTAAAATGAAGATAACACCTGAGCTGTTGAATTTGGAGAATGATGGCCAAAGCTAAATGAAACGGTTGTAGCTAACTTTTATGGAGTGCTTACTGTCTGCCAGTTACTGGTGCTAAATGCCTACATCCATTGGCTCATTGGAGCCTCACAATGATTCTATAAGGGAGGTGCGATCATCATGTCATCATTAGATGAGAAAAGGGAGGAAGTGAGAGGTTAAATAACCAGCCAAGGGTCACACAGCGGTGCTGCCATGAGCCCAGGTGGTCTGGATACAGAGTACTCTCTATTAGATCAGCTCCTATTCGCCTCTTAGGACAAGTTAAGGGAAAACAAATATAATCCTTCCCAGAATGTGTGTTATTAAGGATTGTTCTTTTCTCTTGTTTCTAATAGCAACCAAGAGATGTTCAAATACTCATCCCTGGATGTTACCCATGCTGCCTTGGTGAATAAATTCTGGCTTTTTGGTGGCAATGAGAAAAGCCAGAGATTCATCGAGCGCTGTCTCCGGGCCTTCCCCAGCTTCTGTCTGCTGGGGGCTGAGGGGACCCCTGTGTGCTGGTCTCTGATGGACCAGACTGGAGAGACGCGGATGGCAGCCACCGTGCCAGAGTACCGAAACCAGGGTCTCGTCGCCCATGTCGTCTATACCCAGGCGCAGACTCTGGAAAAACTTGGCTTCCCCGTGTATTCTCATGTGGATAAGACCAACCACTTCATGCAAAGAGCTAACATAAATGTCAGTATCCCCATGCCCTGTGATTGGAACCAGTGGAACTATGTGCCTCTGTAAAGCCGGCCCAGAAAATAAGACAGTGTTGGGCGGGTTGTGCAGGTGGCTGGAGGAGTGGATGGTGGATAGACAGAAAGAATAAAGTGTAATGGAGTGGACTCTGAGCTCTGTGAAGCACTGATGACAGGTAAACAGGACAGCCTTGGTCCCTGTCCTCAAATAGCTCCTGGACTTCCCTTAGTCTCCTCAGTACGAAGCAGGCCAGGCCCTCCAGCTCCCACATTTCAAGGATCCTTGTGATGCTTTCTAATCAGTTGTATGCTTTTCTCTGTTGCTTTTCTTGGAACTGCTAGCTCATTGGCCCTTGCCCATTCACCAGGAGGTGGGCTCTATGAGCTTTCCCTCTGGCTTTCTATGGCTTTTCTTTTATTGGCTAGAGAGTGGCCAGTGTTCTAAATAGGCCTTTGCAAAATCATCCTTTCCCAGGTCATTTCCTAAGCCTCGTATTATAATCCCATGAAATATATTACACATACACACGTGTACACACACACTATATATATAAATATATATACACACACATATACATATACACATATATGTGATACAACAGGGAGAATTATTAAGAAAAAGACTAACTGGTATTAATATCTTCTTTTGTAGCTCATACCCCATGAAAGAGATAGCAGCATTGCTTCTAAAGGCTGAGCTTTCTTAATCCTCCTCCCCAAGTCCCCTTATAATAAAGAGACTGTTTGGTTGTGAAAGCTTATTCTATGTGGCCCATGAAGGGAGGTGAGTGTAGGGAGAGGAGAAAGTGAGAGGACCCAAACCTAGGGAGGTGGATTTTTATTATTAGGGTAGGGAATGCTTTGTACAGGGTAGTGACTGAGGTTCCACCTGGCAGCAGCATGCTGCTTTGGGCTACCTGAACCCTCTGCAGTGCAAGCGAAGATCATGTGGGGGTCTGGTTGATGGAGGGGCCCCCCAGAAAAGTTAACTCTGAGTGTCCCCAGGAAGACCATCCCAGCAGTGCTGGAGGAGTAACACCTACTCCGAGGAAAGAAAGAAAGAGAATGTTACCAGGTTGAGGCTTGGGACCATCACAGATCAATTCCTTAACACATCAAAATAATAGCTGTACTTTTTATACAACTATTGAGTACCAGCTAAAACACCACCCCCAGAACTGCCTGGAAGTCACAAGGGAGGTCAACGAGGGCTTCGTGATACTACACACTGAAGCGAAGAGAAGAAACCTCATGATGCTCGAAGAGGAAGAGACCTCATGATACCACATGATAGCAGGACGAGAGAGAGAGAGGTTGCGGGGAGGCTAGGTCTCATGATCATCAGGTTAAGAGAGATTGCTTTTTCATATGCAGCAGGGAAGAGGAATATTGATTTTGCATTTATCAGTTAGCTAACTTCAAATAAAGTTACCTGTAAGCAGTGTTGACAATAAGCATTTAAAGGCTCCTGTGATAGAGATTAGCCTATCAGTTCTTCCAGTCCACACTACCAACTCTGAGGTTTTTCCCCTGTGACTCCAAGCATTTAAGGATTCCTTCAATCTTCACTCAGTCTGCTGTGAATGACAGAATATTTACTTCCCCCTCTAGGCTAAAGATGACAAAAACAGAGGGATTCTCCTTTATTCTTTTAAATTCACTTTTAAAATTTCACTTTGGTAAATTTTCTTATTCTATTTCCAGGTATGTGGTAAGTCTGCAATTTTTAGCAATTCCTTTTTGGGATCTTATAAATTGTGTATACATCCATTCATAAATTTAGCTTATTAAATACTTTAAAATGTTCCAAACTATATTTATAGATTTTATGTTCCTTTTAAAGACTTCAATTCTGGCCGGGCGCGGTGGCTCACGCCTGTAATCCTAGCTCTCTGGAAGGCCGAGGCGGGCGGATTGTTTGAGCTCAGGAGTTCGAAACCAGCCTGAGCAAGAGCGAGACCCCGTCTCCACTAAAATTAGAAAGAAATTAATCGTACAACTAAAAATATATAGAAAAAATTAGCCGGGCATGGTGGCGCATGCCTGTAGTCCCAGCTACTCGGGAGGCTGAGGCAGGAGGATCGCTTGAGCCCAGGAGTGTGAGGTTGCTGTGAGCTAGGCTGACGCCATGGCACTCACTCTAGCCCGGGCAACATAGTGAGACTTTGTCTCAAAAAAATAAAATAAAATAAAGACTTCAATTCTCCGGCAACAAATAGAATGATCCTAAATAGTAAACAATTCTTATAAATCTAATAATGAAAACTTATTAATACAATAAATTCAGTGGGTCTAAAGTTACAAATCTAAACTTTTAAATAAATTTAGTAATAATCTAACTTAAAATTATAACTCTAAATCAATCACCTAATTATGTATTTCTAGTTACACTTAAAAGATTCTCACTCTAATAGGTCAAATTCTATCACAAGCTTACAAGTATGTAAAATATGAAATATGCTGAACTTCCTTTTTAAGCTAAAATACTAGTAGTATGCATCTGATTCTCCTAAATATTTGTATATTTAATTCTAATTTTTACAAGAGTAGAAAGATGCATGCTCACTAAAGAAGGTCTTATCACCTTGGAATATTGAAGCTATTGACTACTAGATAGCCAGGAGACTGACAAGATCTGTCTGTCACCATGATGGGACACAATGAACCTGATATATACAGGTTACATCAGTAGTTTCACGACTTCAAAAGGGAAGTAGTCACTAAACCCACATCCCAGGATTAGAGTTACAGACATTATCCTGTTCTTTTATTCATACAATTCTTCACCTCCAACTAGGCTGATCAATTGATTGGGTTTTAGATTGTTCTGACATATAAATATATTTCTCAATATAAACGTAGAGCTCCTTGAACTTGACAGGTTCCTAAGAAGTGTAAATATAAAAACATTTGTAGTTAACAAAATCTTTCATTCTTTTGTATTCGCAGGATCATACAACCACTAAAAATATTTAAAAGGAAATCTGATAGAATGTTAGATATTTCACATGATTTTATCAACCTGAAGCACCGCCCTTTGGTGTCATTCTACTGTCATTCCTCCTCGAGTTAGAAAACATCTAATAAGGTGGACACCTCCAACCAGGCAGTTAAAATTACTGCCAACATCATGTGCCTTGATGACTGAAGCATTTAGACAAACACAATCTCATTCATATAGCATATCTGGCATAACCTTCATCAATTAATGAGGAAACAATCACTCAAACCCAAATTGGGGATAGTCTAAAACACATTGGCCTGTACTTTTCAGAAAACGTCAATGTCATGAATGAAAAAGAAAATCTACAGAACTATTTTAGATTTAAAAAGACCAAAGAGACATGAAAATTAAATGCACTTTTCCATGAAGGTACGTAAACTCTCTTCTCTTCAAAAGAACTGCTGTTTCACAAAAGCTTTGTGAAAGCTACCACAACCATAATCCTTCCACAAAATCATCAGTCACCCCATGTGAGAAGTTTAAAAATATATTAGCAGCATGGGGTCCTTGCTCTTCACATAGAGAAAACTGTTAATTGCCTCCTGATCATAGTTAATTATAATAGACACCTTTACTAAAATTTCTGTCCGTATGTTGTTTTACTACAGCATCAGGAGCTCCCTGAGGCAGCAAGCCATCTTATTTGAGTCGATCTTCCTTCCTTTCCTGCAGCTCATCCCATAAACAATTTAGCAGACTAGCAGGAACATGAAAACAGAAGGTGCTAAATGTTCAGTGAATGAACAGTGGAGGGGGCAGTGGCGAGGAAATGTTCCCCTCCAAAGCTCATCCTCCAAGGCTCTCAGACATGTCTGTCAAAAGAGGTACATATGGGGTTGTGAAGATAATTGGTTTAGATGCCAACATAAAAAAAAAAAAAACAGATCATATCAATACATAATTACATTCAGAGTTCTTTGAAAACTCAAATCTGGTCAAACAAGACCCTCATGTCCACCAGGCAACAACCAGCCAGAGCTGAGTAGTTGCTGCCTCCGGGGGTGGGTCACGCACCCTTCCCTGTGCCTTGGAGTGGAAGCAAACCCACCATAGCGACCTTACCTATTTACGTCAGCTGCTTGCTACCAGTAGGAATGAGAGTTTTCCATGACTGCCATAGAGGAAAAGCTTACATGAGTCCAGTCGCAGCCTTCTAAATGCACCTGCCTTTTTTTTCTCCTGCCCCGTCGGGTTTTCTCCTGGTCATGACATTTTTGCTATACATTATGCATTGCTGTTTTACTGTTGCTCACTAGGCAAGGTCAATTCACCCTTTTGAGTTGCTGCTCTTTTTACCAATGACATGCCAGGTCAACTATGGTGGCAGTGTAGTGAGTGACCGCATTCCCCACCCGGAGCGATCAGCCCAACCCAGACCTGCTGAGTTCCGACCGGCTGCTTATGTTTGTGGTTTAAGGCTCAGTGCGCATTTCCAAGAAAGCAGGTTACAAAAATCAGGTCTTACAGTAAAGACTTGTTTATTTATTCTGAATCGGTGTCAGACAAGGCCAGCTTACCAGACTCCGCAGAGTAAACGTTCACCAACAAAATGTCTCTTACTTGGGAAAATCACTTCACAAAGCCGGTTTACCCAAACCATACTTGGCCAAAATGAAGGGAATTTCTTCATGTGTGATAACTCGAGATTTCCAAGAAAAGTTTAAGGGGGGAGGTGGGAACAGGATCTCTATCTAGGCTATGATGCCATGAATCCTGGCATAGGCTAGACTCACTGGGTTGCAAATATAATTTAGAAAAGCGCAAAATATATACTTAGCCCTCTCCTTCTTCAAGCAATGTCTCTTTCCTCCTCTCTCGTTATGTTCCTCTAGTCAATGCTTGTGCTATTGACTCCTGTCCAAGCTGCTGAGTGTGTGCAAAGCTACAGGTTCCTCCCCAGAAAACCCACATTTCCTCAGAAAAGCTTATCTGGAAAGTCAGAGAGCAACTTCCATCCTTCCAAATGCATGTCGAGTTCATGGAAATAAGGGCAGTGGATTCACCCACAGGAGTGGAAAGCTTCAGGAGGAAAACCCTGTCGCTGGCCAGTGGAATCCCCCTTAGGGAATTGGAGACTTGCTTCATGATCCTGTGAATTCAGTGATGATGCTGGAGGCCTGGACCATTACTCATTTTCATGGTT